TTAGTCATTACAAAAGAGCTTTGTTTTTTGGTTTCATTTCTGAGAGTTTCTTTAGGCCAGTCCTACTAGCAATGTCAATTTCTGATAGTTAGATCATATCAAAATCATATTAGATTGAAAAACTATACAGAAAATAAAGTTTCTGATATAAATCTTATGACTGAAAATAGAAAACTACCGATAGTTCTTTTCTTTTCTTTTTTTCTGCCAGAAAAGCTTCCTTTTTTTGCTTTAAAAAGAGCTCACATTACTAGAGGAATCAAGATATCATCATGGCAAATTACCAAAGTAACCTCACATTGTATCAAGGTCTCTTGCATTAATGGATGCATGGGTTTCATTGTTGAAGGAGAGATTAGTCATTACAAAAAGAAATTAGTTATACATTTTTGCGGAAAGCTACTATGGAAGCCAAAGAAGATTTGGTAAACTTGCAAAAAGAGCATAAACTTCAAGCCAAAAAAAAAACTTTTCTTGGGAGCCAATGATTCCACAAGACCAATACATTTTGTTAATAAAAAAAAGACCCTTTTAGAACAATAATAATAATAATAATAAACCCATGAAAAGCTCAGCACGTAATCCTATTGCTAGTAACAAATACAGAAAAAGAAATGAAAAACATCCACATTCACATTCAAAACATGTTCTCTTTCATTGTTCTTTTCAGCATTTTGTGGAGAAAAACAGAGCAATAAGATGAAAGATTTAAGACAACAGGAATAATTATAAAGCCAGATTACATTACCATGAAATGAGGAGTGGTTCTCTGAGGTAATTGTAAACGTTGATGATCAAGTTGTCGTTTGTAACGGCGTCGATCTGAGGCCCGGGAAATTGCCCATTAATCAAGATCCCCTGCAAACGACAACTAAAAAGGTTACTTCTTTTCTCACTTCCCAAAAGCAGAAAATGTAAACCAAAAAGAAATAGTTACTAAAATACCAAACAAACTCAAAGAAACAGAGTAAGTAAAGGCTTTATATAAAAACTACCTGTTGTTTGACACCAAGAGGGTAAATGTCACCATAAGTGACTTTCCAAGTAAGAAACCTATATGGGTTTTCACCATTAACTCCATTACCAAAGCAAAGCACCAAAACAATGAGGAAACTAAGAAAGCTCCAATCTTTCATTTTTTTTTCTTCTTCTTGTTGTTATGTATCAATAGACAAGTGAAAGAAAGATTTCTACAATGTACTTCACAAGTGATAGATCTAGTATAGAGAAGAGAGAGATGGTTCTGAGAACACCCTTGTGAAGAGAAGAAGAACCCAGATGAAGTTCTCAGTCCTCCTTCTCTCTCTCTCTCCCTCTCTAAATCTATCTTTTTTGTTTGTTGAAATCTCTGTATCTTTTTCTCTTCTTTTAATATGTTTGTGGAATAGTGATTAGTCTGAACAAAGGTCAGTTTTTGTATGCAAGCGAGAGCGCAAAGGGAAATGGCTCGTGAGCTGTCAGTGAGTGGACTTTAATTCAAAACCCGTTTAGTTAATGGATTAAAATTATGAGATTATAATTATTTTTAATTTATGTATTTTTTTGTAAAAAAAAATATTATAGTAAATCATGAACTATGATTCAAATCAGAGAATAAATCCTCTAACCAAACGGGCTCTCAGTCATGAGAACTAAAATCTAATAGATGCCGGTCCAGAGCAGTCCAATCATAGACCGTGAAAATGTTAAGCACCGTTTATTTTGTTGATTCAAATGGTATAATAAAAAAAATTTATAAATAATTACATCTAATTTTTTTATTATAATAAAAATTTCTCATATAAAATTACATCTTAATTTAAATTAAAATTTTAAATTAACGAACTAAATAAACCCTTAATTAATTCAAAATCTACTGTGTCCTACGCCTACGTTGACAGTTCTGGATTAAACAAGTATTTTATATGAATTATATTTAAGCGATAAATATATCTTTCTTTATTTTCTTTTTAGATTGCACAAAAGGTTTATGAACCATGATTCGAATCAGAGAATGAATCCTCTAACCAAACGAGCTCTCAATCATGAGAACTAAAATCTGGTAGATGCCGGTCCAGAGCAGTCCAATCATAGACCGTGAAAATGTTAGGCACCATTTATTTTGTTGATTCAAATGGTATAATAAAAAAAATTTATAAATAATTACATCTAATTTTTTTATTATATCTTTCTTTATTTTCTTTTTAGATTGCACAAAAGGTTCATACTCCCACAATTTATTTTAATATTTCTATTTAATTAATATGTTATGTGGCATTGAATCTACAATAAAATGAGTAAAAATTAGGTATATTCTTTGAGTAGATCAAATTAAATCCTTTTTTTTTAATTGGGAGGTTCTTAAATTTTCACAGAAATGAATATGAGATGGAATAACACATGACTTCACCCAAAAAAAAAAAAAAAAAATTAATAGCCAAATATTATAAGATATGAGGGGCTATAAGACATGACGCGCTCAAAATGGGTGGTAAGACTAAAAGACAAGAGTCAATTTGTCGTTTGATGAATTCCTAGAGATCAGAGTTTTACTCCATTCACGTGCAGCTAAACAGTAATGTGTAAATGAAGTTGAGATGAATTTTTTCAACTTCATTAATAGTAATTGATTAAACCCATAATTGTGTTTTTTCAATAAGCAAAACCCATCATTGATCAATTATTGTTGTGAGCTTCATTACTTTCCACCCGTAGGGAACAAGGATGGTGGTAAAATGTAAAATGTAAACCATAGAAGAGATTGAGAAGAGTCCATTCCTCAGATGGCATTAATTAAATACACAGAAGAGGTGGTGATTGCCTTCCATGGGCCTTCAATTGAGAATGGTCCCCATTTCAGTCATGACAATATATCATTTACCTGTACACTCCGGCTGTATTAGTTGCAGACTAATTTAAGTGAACGTTTGATTCATGAGTTCAGAATCATAATTCAAAATTATTCTTAATTTATGTGTACTTTTTATAAAAAAAATATTATAACGAATCACGAGCTAAAAAACCACTAGTTTTAGATCTCTTTGGCCCCCTTGCTAGTTTTCAACATTAATGATCATTATGTTGCTAGCTCAGTTTTTATTTGTCCCGACTTTCCACCTTTCTTGTATATTATTGGGACCCCAAATTCAGTGATATGCGGCGAGAGACCAGGTACCCAAAATAAACAAAAATGGCGCCTTGCTTTTGGGTATGAAACACTATTTTTATTAATTGATGATACGGTGAAATCAACCAGCGGGGATAGCTCAGTTGGGAGAGCGTCAGACTGAAGATCTGAAGGTCGCGTGTTCGATCCACGCTCACCGCAAATTTATTTTTTTGTCCTCTTTCAAATTTTCGTCGTTTTCTAGTCCTTGTGCCCTTTTCATGTTAAGCAATTCGTTGTTTCCCCCTCGTTACGTGTATCTTTTAGGAGATAATACATATATATATATATATATATGTTTTTTGAAGTAAAACTTAGGAGAATATATTATATATGTGTGTTGACGATTCGATTTCGTCAACAAAAAACCGACTGGATTATCTTGAGGTTTCTCTTCGGGCTACCGACCTATGTGTTTAGTGAAAGAGTAGATACTTGTTGGATGTGAGTATTTGTTTTATTAAATGAACTATATGTAAACAAACACAAGGAATTTTATAGTGGTTCACTCTATAAAATTAGAGCTACATCCACTGTAAGTTTTGTATTTCTTTTGAAAGGCCAACAATTTACAGGTTTTGACTCTCCTTTTTCCTCTTGTGTTTTTTCTCTGACCCTCTCTCGGCGGGGTCTTCATCCTTTTATACTGGGCTTCCTTCACCTAGTGGTTTTCTTTAATCGGTGGAAACACTCAAGTGTTCTACCTTGGTAGGCCCAGATGTAGCCCACTAATCAGCACTGTTCACTCAGCCAATTAGTCTTCTATTACGGCTCTGTGATTCTCCGTAATACTTTTCTGTCCCCTGTGGGGCGGTTCGAGAATTTGTAATTAATGCTCACAGACGTTCTCCGCTTCTGCACGCAACCCGCCATGTCTCAAAAGAACGTTCTCCTCGTCGCCAGCGTCATTTAGCCCCAGTCGTCCTCTCTGGCGGTCCTTTCTGCAGCCGAGGAATATCCATACCTTAATTCAAGCGGCACTATCCGTCGGCGCCACAAGGGGTCGTCGCCCTAATCCGGACTTTAACCTTGGGCTTTGCGGCTGATTAGGAAGAAAACGTAGACGCCGAGGGTTGCGTGCTTGGCGGAGAGCAGTTATGGCCACGTGTCGTAGTGTCGTTGATCCAGGTGTCCATCACATTTTCCCACGCAACAATGTGTACTGTTAAAAGCCTTTTATTCTTCAGTTTTCTTACTTACTGTCGTTTCTAAATAAATCGTCGTTTCTTAGTCTTTGTCGTTTTCTGACAAAAAAAGAAAAACGCGTTATTTTCAATTCATAGTCTAACCTGGAAATCATTAAGCAAAAAAGAAACGACAACATATTTATTAGATAAAACTAGAAAAAGACGATGAGAAAAAAGAAGCATAAAAATCACTACGCAAACCATCAGCATATTCTCTAATAAACTAGTAACTCGCCAACTATCAGCATATACTCTGAAGTCTGACATGCTTTCCAGCCAAAAAAATAAAAAATAAAAAACTTAAGACATACTTAGATTTCATCTACCATAGCCATATTTAGACAAAATAAGAGCATAAGGAATTAGATAAATAACATACACCAATATCCTTAGTGAACAACGACTGATTTGCTGTTCAACAACAAAGAATATATCATCAACATATGGCTATTTATATCCACAAAACGTTTATCTAAATCCAATTTTAACCAAGAAAAAAAAAAAAAAGGAAACCCGTTTCCAGTATGTCAAAGAATAATGTAAGACTGATCAGCAAAGGACCATATGTGAGTAATTCGCATCTCATACATGCATACATATATATGAGCTGTTTTACCCATTACTCTTTTTGTTTCTCCCAGTCAATTCTCATATTCATTTTCCCTTTTGATGTTGCAAAAGGTTGTACTGGACAATGGGATAGTAAAGCTTACCATAATGAAGCCACAAGGATACTTGACTAGTATCACATATGGAGGAATGGACAATATCTTGGACTCCAAGTCAATTGATGAGTCCAGCAGGGGGTAAGCTTCAAAATCTAATAATAATCTTATATAAATGGAACAGTTCTAGCTAGTCTCATAGCTTTGGTTACTTAAATAATTTTATGTAAAATGCATAAATTAGAACAATACTAAAAAACACCAGTGACGTTCAACACCACACACTAATAGAAAGTGAGTCTCACACTATCAGTCGTACTATCTATTAGTCATAGTGTTCAACGTCCGTGGTGCCCTGAAGCATTAGAGAAATATATGTGACAATTCTTAATTTCATCACATAGTTTTTAGGAAACAGGAAATAAATTCATGTTTGGCTTAAAAATTCTTTTAACAAATTATGTGCAGATACTGGGATGCTAACTGGAGTTGGCCTGGAGGACAGGACAGATATCAATTGTATGTTTTTACTCTTTATACCCTGAAAACACAAATACACAAACATGTTATAATTAGTTAACTAGATTTCTTGTCGTATAACAGACTGAAAGGAGCTGAATATAGTGTGGTCAATAGGAGCAATGACCTAATAGAGGTTTCATTCAGGAATGCATATGATCCACCAACCAAGGGAAGCAAATTGCCACTTAGTGTGGACATAAGGTTTTGATAAAAACTGTTGTTATTCTTTCTTTGGCTCTTTTAATCCCAAGTTTTGCTCAGTTGGTCTAGCTGATTGAGGAACTTGTGTAGGTACATATTGAGGAGTGGTGTCTCGGGCTTCTACTGCTACGCAATTTATGAGCGGCCTTCTGGATGCCGCGAATTTGACCTTGCGCAGACAAGGATGGCGTTTAAGTTGCGATCGGAGAAGTAGATTATCCACCTGTTATGTGTCCTATTTGGAGTCTCAACATTTGCTTTGTTTTATGTTCACGTTTATAACTGTGTCCCTTTATCACTTGTACTAGGTTCCACTACATGGCAATTTCGGATGAGAAACAAAGGGTCATGCCAGTGCCACAAGATTTGCTTCCAGATAGAGGCAAACAGCTAATTGTACCTGAATCAGTTTTGCTAGTAAATCCCATTAATCCAGATCTCAAAGGCGAGGTCCATACATATACATGAACTGCTTTCTTTTTCTTTTTTTTTTTGGTGAAAAAATTAAGTAATTGCTTGACTAACAAGGGACTATGGTTTTCTTTTTCCCTATTTGCTTGGATGTAGGTTGATGATAAATATCAGTACTCAATGGACAACAGAGACGGTGGAGTTCATGGATGGATAAGCTCTAAACCTGTAATAGGATTTTGGGTTATCTTCCCTAGCCATGAATTTCAAAATGGTGGTCCTACAAAGCAAAATCTCACTGCCCACACTGGGCCAACCTGCCTCGCGGTGAATTTCCAACTCGAAACAATTTAAACAATCGGTTGCCTGACTTTATGAGATGCTTATTGAGATGTGTTTCTTTGAGTTCTTTAGTTTATTTATAAGCCATTTCTAGTTCAGATAGTTAGAACAATTTTAAATTTGTGATTATCTATTTGCTGCAACAGATGCTGCATGGAACCCATTATATTGGGGAAGATATATTAGCTCATTTTGGAGAAGGAGAGACATGGAGGAAGGTTTTTGGACCCTTCTTTGTATACCTCAACTCAACAGCAGATGTATCAGATGCACACAGCCTATGGTTAGATGCAAAAAACCAGGTACTAATTTGATCAATTGTGAGTTTGTTGGGGTAGTAGTTATAACATTTGACTATCAATTCTTATTCTATTACAGTAAATTAATAAACCTTTTTTCTTTATCGGTTTGTATTATATGTCATTCATCTTAGAGGCTGTTAGAAGAGGAGGCATGGCCTTATGATTTTGTCTCGTCGCCTTATTATCTAAGCGCTAAAGAGCGCGGTTCCGTTTCAGGAAGACTTCTCGTCCAAGACAGGTAATGAGTATTATTTATGCTCTGTAGCTACGTTTTAAGTTTACACTCTTGGCAAAAAAGAAAAAGAAGATTTCTGTAGTACTTCTCATTCAAACTGTTGAATTTACTTCAGGTATGTTTCTGATTCTCTAATCCCTGCGAAATATGCGTATGTTGGCTTATCAGCAGCAACAAAAGAAGGAGCCTGGCAAACAGAAAGCAAGGTAAACAATAAACTCAAATAATTTCTTTCAAACCTTTTAGTGAGACAAAGTAGATTAGAAAATTTGAACACTTGGGATTCTACAGGGTTATCAGTTTTGGGTGCAAACTGATTCAACTGGAAACTTCACTATCAAGAATGTCATTCCTGGCGTTTATGGCCTTCATGGCTGGGTTCCTGGTTTCATTGGCGATTACCTTGATAAAGCACACGTTACTATTTCATCAGGTACTTTTATATATCACTCATATACATCTCATAGTTTAGTCCATGTCATAATATCATGTATGATATATTGATCAAAAAAGAATTCCTCAGGTTCACACACAGAAGTTGGCAATCTCACCTATGCTCCCCCAAGAGATGGTCCAACTATGTGGGATATCGGGTTCCCTGACCGAACGGCCAATGGCTACTATGTTCCAGATGTGAACCCCATGTATGTCAACAAGCTATTTGTCAACAGCCCTGAAAAGTAAGCAAATTCAGCCCTTAATGACAATTAAGATCGCTCTTCATTAAGTCTGTATTTTAATTCTTATGACAAGTTATTTTACAGGTTCAGACAATATGGCTTGTGGGACAGATACTCTGATGTTGATCCTGAAGTTGACCAAGTGTTCACTGTAGGCATCAGTGATCCAAAGAAAGACTGGTTCTTTGCCCATGTCGACAGGTATTTACTTCCATGCTAAAGTATTTATATTCGGTACAAATATCGAAATTTCATTGTAGTATGATAGACTGATGAGAACAAACATATCATCATTCACAGAAGAGAGAAAGATAACAAGTATATCCCGACAACATGGACAATCAAGTGTAATCTCAAGTCAGTAACCAGAGGGACGTACAAGCTAAGATTGGCCATCGCATCAGCAACGCGTTCCGATCTTAAGGTAATAAAGAAGAGTAGATACTTTATTTTAATTCATTATTTTTTTTTTTAATTAATCTTGTCTTTGCAGGTTCATGTCAATGATATGGATGAAGCACGCATGGTGTTCCAAGTAATGAACTTGGGTGCAGATAACACCGTTTGCCGGCATGGGATACACGGACTTTATCGGCTTTTTAGTATTGATATTTCATCGTCGTTGTTGGTTAACGGAGATAACTCCTTATTTCTCACACAGGCCAGGGGTGGAGATGCACTTTGTGGAATCCTCTATGATTATCTAAGGCTTGAAGGTCCTGCAACTTCAGAGGTATATGACTGATGGAAAAGAATCATCCCATGGCTTAAACTGTAGTTTTGGAATATTGTATGACTTTTATCTTCGTTTGAAAGGAAAACTCGGATAAACTCAGTAGATATCTTTTTCTTTTACATCTTCATGGTAGAGATAAAATGACAAAAATACTTCAAAAGTGTATCCGTTTGATTTAAAATTTTTGCATACAAAATGTACCAACGTTACATCATTTCACCGGTAATCTATACAAAACTTGATGCATATCACGCACGGAAACTCTGCAAATGTTAGCGTATTAATTAAATAAGGGGATGATACCGAAGACAAAAGTGAGATTCACTGTCTTTAAGGATAAATTCTGCCCACCGTGTGCAAAAACATGCTTCGCGGCGGTCTAACCTCCAAGACAGAACGACCCGAGTTTTATAAGGGTGCACTCTCAAATACTCAGCTCTAGAACAACTATATGGTTAACAAAATTGAAGAGAAAAATTTAGGGACATGTTTTACAAATTTTATAAGCTCGGAATCACAAACAGCAAACAAGAGAATTCTATCTATAGAAGTGACATGAAAGAAAGGAAGTGAATGTGAGGTATGGAACTCTGCATAGGGGGGGTATTTTCAGGAAACCGCATTTTTTCCATGGCCAAGACATTGGCACGGACCTAAGGTCTGCAGTGATTTTGAACGCTAATAAGTAGATGATTTTATCGCCAGCCTGCCTGCATTTCTTTCCAGTTTTCCCCGTTGGATCTTACTATATATGTTGTGTTATGAGTTTGGTCATGTAAAGTGTTAACAAATCACTCAACAGCTGAACCACTATCCTCGACAGTTGACACACGTCCATACGAATAAATAACTATATTGTTATCCATCTGCTGCTTCTTCTTTTGTTTTTTTTTTTTTTGGCTTTGTAAGCTCATTGTTCTTCATTTGATTGGTGGAAGTCTAATACTATATCCATGATTTATGCAAGGACGTCACAAGCTCAAGGGAAAATTCATTTGTTTACTTTCCTTTTGTACGTAATAATAGTATAACATGGCTAAGAACAGATACATGGAACACGTCAGTTCCGACTTGTGTCTAATTTTTTCATCAATGATATTTTGATATGTCTTGCACTAGAAAAAAATAATAATAATATATATTATGTTTTTTTGAAACGTCATCCATTTCCTTTACTGTCTCTCTCTTCATAGCTTGTGCCTGTCCTTTCTAGAAAGAGAAGAGTGTTTGGTTGGAGAAGAATTATGCGAGTATACTCACACAACTTTTCTTTTTTATTTAGGCTTACCGAATTTTTAATTTTAGATTATTACAATTAAAAATTTTTAAAAATATCATATTTAATTTTTTTTATTACAGTTAAAAATTCTCAAAAAATATTACATCTAATCTTTTTTATTATAATTAAAATTTTTTTAAAAATATCACATCTCAATTCAAATTGAAAAACTCAAATTAAAAAGCGGGGCTTTATTATTAGTTTTTTGCTATAGGAATTATTTGCTAGAGGTGATGTAACTTGATCAGGAAGAGGCTTTTTTGATACACCGACTTTATCGGCTTTTCAGCAGATCCTCCACGGTTATCTAGGTTTGAAAGTCCTGCAACTTAAGAGGTATGTGACTAATGAAAATATTGTACTTTTTTTTCCCCCTCTTCTTCTTTGTTTAGAAGAAAAATTCTGATAACCTCGGCAGATATCTTCTATCTCTAACTTTTCACAAAAAGCTTAAATATGAATTACAGTAAGTGGGAAGAGATGGTCGAACAAAGACTTCTTCTCCATGGTAAAGATGAAATGACAAAATACTCCCAAAGTGCATCCGTTTCATTCGAAATTAAGTATACCTTACAAAATGTACCAGCTTTACATCATTTCACCGGTAATTATACATAACTGCATGCATATCACGCATGGAAACTCTGCAAAATACCAAGCATAAACTCGACCATTGACTTCTTCCGGTTGCTTATTTACTGGATCATTTACTTCGCGGAACAGACTTTACTCGCTACAGATTGTCAAAAGCAAGCCATAATGATCACTGGGCAAAACAGGAAGCTCCAAGTTCTTGATCTCCTTCTTCACTTTCTTTTCCTTGATATATGATAGACCCGGTATTGCATCCATCCCAATCATTTCAATTCCACTGATCTTGAACTCATGCAACTTGCAAACAAAACGATCTAGACGCTTCTGCAAAGTGCGGTTTGCGGACAACATCTGGTTGGACTTGGTATCGTATGTCCAACCATTTTCTCCTGGCCTTAAGTTTGCCCAAGCATCACTCCATCCATCTGGTAAAGGAAACTGACCGTCCAACTTGTCATCCCAATTCATGTCACCACCGAAAACCACATTTTGGTTCTTCTTGAGAAAGCTGAGAGCCTCTGTCGCCTGCTCCACGCGTTCCTTGCTAAACATCTGGTCCCATGTTGGAGGACCCGGGCAGGGGCTTTCAAGATGGCTAGTGGCAACAAGCAAGGGCTTGCCCTTCTGGACTTCAATTTCAGCAACACAAAGTTCTCTTCCCATAATAGAATTGCCAAAGGGCCTACAGCTGAATGATTTCACTGGCAGTTTGCTTAACTAAAAGAAGAAATTCTATGTCAAGTCATCCAAATCTCTCATCAAACCAGCAAGAAGGTTGCCCAAAACAGTAAAACAAGCACGGCACTTGTCGAAAATAAAGTCTATCCAAAAGGATATATAACCTCAAAGCAAGCAAAAACCAGAACCATCAAAGAAAGTTGACTTAGCTGGCATGGTATTAGAGCATTTATACAGAAAGATTCATGGATCAGCAATAAAAAACATTGTGAAGGGGGCAAAAAAAAATAAAAGAGCTTTTTAATGCGCTAGCGGCAATCATACTATTGATCCTAACATAGAAGATAAAAGGAGCCATGTGCAATTTCCTAGCATAACCAAGCATTCCTTTTTTTTTTTTTTTTTAAAGGGACCAAGCATTCTCGATCATACTAATCCAAACACAAGACGGAATCGTAATAAAATCAAAGAACGTTGTTTAAACCTGCATGCAAAAGTATGGCCTTGAAAGAGCCATTTGCATAGGAACAGAGCAATCATACGCTCTCCACCAACTAGATTGCTGAAAGATCTTGTATATATTGGGGGTAACCTCCTGCATGACAAAGTAACTTTGAAATGAAAATTTCACAACAAGAAGTGAGTCTCATAATAGTTATAGGACATTTCTCATTATTTATGGGGCTAGCTAACGAATGATTAGCACCTGAAAGCATATGACTTCAGGGGAATGCAGTTCAATAAGGTCACCAAGAGCTTTCATTCTCTTCTGCAGTTCCAAGTCTTCTCTGAACCAAACATTGTAGCTCAAAATCTTCAACTTGTTTAGACCCTTAGCAGAACCAGACTCCTCTATACACAAGTCAGAAATCACACAACTCAAAAGTCAAAACAAATATGAAACCTTTATTCGAATAAAGCTAAAACGCTAACCAACGATCCAAAAGACTATGAACCAAGAAAATATCAGACAGAGACGAGACTACGAGCCAGAAAAGTTTCAACCTTTTTACCATCAATAGAAAGAAACAAAAAAAACCCAAGAAAACCCAAAAAGCCAAAAGCAAGAATATACCAAGTTCCAACCCACCGGACACAGTCGCCGGCTTATCGGAGGCTTTGAGCTTAACAGCCTGAAACCCACCGCCCAAATCCGGAGAACTCGGTTTGGCCGGCTCGGGTCGAACCGGGTCCGAAATCCTCGTCCTCTTGCAAGGCTGCAAGGGCAAGAAAACAGAGCCAATGGAAGAATCGAGGTGGGCGTCGAGATCAGTGTCGTTCAAATCCTCGAAGCTGGAGAGGGAGGAGACCGGGGCTCTGGTGTCGCAGATGTCGCAGTTGGTCATGTTGTAGGGATTCAGGAAAGTGCAGGCTTTGCACGACCATTTTGGGATCGAAGAAGAAGAAGATGAAGAAGTAGAAGATGGAGATGATGGCGATGAACAGATCTGGCAAACGGATTTCTGAGATGGGGGGTTGAGGAAAGTGCAAGCTTTGCAGGCCCAAGACATTGGTACGGACAGTAGAGAAATGCGAGTCCTCCTAGGGTTTACAATGTGAAAATGGTATTGAAGAAGGAAGGTTTTGGTAAAGGAAATGGGCATTTGAATAAATTCATTACCAATATGTATTTTGAGTCATATGGTCACAAAATTTGAATCTCTCTTTGCTAACGGCTTTCGGTATCTACTACACGATTAGAGTGCAAAGTACGGCTCCGTTTATTTCACTTATTTTAATAATTTTATTGTAATAAAAAGTTTTCAACAACAGTCTTATTTAATTTTTTATTATAGTAAAAATTAAAAAGTTCTTATATACGTATCTCAATTTAAATTAAAAACTCGAATCAACGAACTAAACATGCACATGTACTAAGTTATAAAAATCACAAAAAAAAAATGTAAAAACCAAATAAAATAAATATTCTACTTATTTTTTTTTTAAATTTAGGAGAAGATGTTTGCATTTTATACCATTTTTGGGAGTCAAAAATAAATTTACAATTAGATTGTATTTACAATCACATGAATATTACACACCAACTAATTATGATAGTGGCGTAACGACGAATGATGACGTATAAAAACTCTTTCACCTAGTACTCAAGATGAATTATAATTGTTCACAATGAAAGATAAAAGCAGATAAATATTATGCGTATTACATGAAACTTTATTATTGTGAATAAAATCCAATCTATACATAGAACTATACACAAGTAATGAGCAATTCTATAGATGAAACTATACTTAACATGCACGTAACTCTGCTCAACCCTCCACGACTTATAACTCGTTCTCTTTAACATGACAAAATACACAATAATGAGCAATTTACTTTTTGAGAAGTTCATATATCACTCTTACCCTTCCGAAGAGAGAGAGAGGGAAAAAGAAAAAAGGTTCTTGCATCAATTGGAGATAATTTGCTTCACAAAGTCTGAATACACCATTTTCTATCATTCTTTGCTGATACGGGATCGAACTCATAATCTCTCTCCAAACCCAACCCAGTGACACACCCTCAGAAGAAGAAGAAGAAGAACCACATCTGAATAAAATTAAAAGTCTTGGACATTTCTGATAACTTTCATCCATCTAAACTTTGGAACATTACAAATGGCAAACTACTTATTTTGTACATATCCTGCCCTGTTTTGGAAGTGACTAGTGAGTAAAATCAAATCCAACACCAAATTGTTTTCATTTTCATACAAAAGTAGAAATGAAGAGTAAAAAGTTTGACAACTTCATCATTTTCATACAAAAGTAGAAATGAAGAGTAAAAAGTTTGACAACTTTATCATCGGCCCCTCCAGTAGAATTGTGGTAAAAAAATCATAAACCCTTCACGTTTCTATAATTTAGAAAGTAGTTTGCATTACAATAACAAAGAGCTAACAACTGCTATCAACATAACCAATATCTTCTTTAGAAATGAAACTTAATTACAGAAAAAAGAAGCCTCAATCCCACCAAAAATCATATGCCCTGCACTCTCTGTTTCTGATAAACAACATTACATTACACTTTATTTAAAAGGAAAAGGGAAAAATGGGATTTATTTTCTATCTCAGCATGGAGTCATTAGATGAAAGAATAACAAACTAGAGAAAGATACAACAAGTTCCTTGCTGCTGAAGGCAATGAATCTCGATCTCTCCGCCGCACCACTTATATGAGTTGAGTTCACTGCCTGCTTTGTTTTATTGCTCATCTTCTTGCTGCACCCAAAAATCAAACACACTTTGCTAAGAACATTGTTAAAAAAAATGAAAAAAAAAAAGGTTTTATTTCTGCTTATCTTTTTGAGAAAACGACAGAACACAAGAGAACAAATTATTGACAATTATTTTCTGCCACATAAAGAAACAACGAAGAGTCTGTGCATGGCCAATTCTCACCTTCCAGGAAATGTGCAGCTCCCGTGACCTGAAAGTACATTTCCCACAAGAAAAAGAAAAATTAGAATCCATAAATGAAGTATACGAGCAAGAGGAATTGTACAAACTAATATCCCAAGTCTTTTAAAGTAGGTTCAAGGTAACATAACAATTATGAAATGGTAGTTTGTCAGCAAGAATATAGCAAGAATCGACATCCTCTCGAAACAAAATCTTATCCTCAGGTCCAGAATCTTTTTACGTCTGTTTCCAAGTACTAGCTAGAAGAAACAATGTCTACAGAAAAGAAAAAAATCATCATCACAGTATCATTTCGCATAGGAAAACAATGTCTAAAAGTAATTTGCAACGCTCCAAGTTTTCTGTCTTGCCCATTTGAGAAGATCAAATATGCCTTTCCGGGTCCACACACCACTCTCCAGTCTCGTGATTAATCAGAGCTAAAAAAAAAAGGAACATCGTCCTATTACTAGATAACACTGAGTAATAAATCAGATAGAGAAATTAAGCCCTTGCGGTTCTTACTAAACTTAAGCACATTATTAGCCACTAATGATTAAAGCTTAATAAGCAAGAGAACAAAAGGGTTTGTTACTTTGTTCTGTTAGCTAAGGAAATCAAAGAACTAGTCCTTTATCCAAAGTCCAAACTTGGTATCTCATTTAGCAGCACAAAACCTTCTAACTTGACAACTTTTTTCTTTTTCCTTCCTTTTTTTGAATGAATGTTCCTCTCAAGTAAATCAATCAGAGAAAAACAAGTTTATCTGCTGCACATTTGTTTCTTCTCTGATTCCAACTTAACAACTTAACTACAGACTATACAAGGAAAAACAAAACTTTTCTCACTATTGACAAGCTCAATGAACACTTACTTGGGTCAGTGGTGGTGATAGTGGCGACACCCTTGAAGTCACAAGACCCAGCAGCCTTGCCTTCCTTCTGGTAATAGCTATCAAACGCATAAGAAGCATGGTTCTTCACATTATTCGGATAATAACAATCCTCGCCCGGCTGAATCTCCGAGCAATTGGCTCTCCCCGGCCCACAAGCCCAATCCAAAGCCGCCTGCAAAGTCCTCTGATCAACCCCATCCATCGCAATACAATACGTCAGGTTCGTCGTATCATTCGCCAAAAAAGTCCCACTCCCCGACACATGAAGCAAATAAACCGGCGTAAAATTCCCATAAAACAAACCCCAATTCGCCTCAGAAAGCGGAGGAGACCTCAAATCCTCATTAAACAACTCATATATGTACACACTCGACGTGGTTTCGGGGTGTAAAGGGGTCCCACTCCGATCAAGAACGTGCTTGATGAGATTCGAATTATAAGTATCCGCATTGTCAATGGTCGCGTAAGGCTCTTTCGAGTCACCTTTTGATGGCCAACCACTTTCGGACACCTGAACGACAACGTCGGTAATGTTGAGATTCTTCATTGAGAAATAGGCCGCGTCGATCATGGCGTCCAAAACACTGGTGTAGTGAAGGAGAGTGTTGGGGTCCACCATTTCCTTGGAAGGCGTTAAGGGCTTGAACAAAGCGTTGTCGAGAGGAACAACGCCTTTGTTCTGCATAAAGACGTAGTAAGGATAAAGGTTCATCATTAGAGGAGAACCGGTTTTGGACAAGAACTGGAGAAGAGGGAGAATATATTGGGTCAAACTCTGGTTAAAAAACGCCTGAGAAGGAGGAAACGTGTCAAGAATAACGGAAGCTGCGTGGGGAGTGGAGATCTTGATCTGGGTATGGAGGTTTGAAGAGACTAAAGCGTTGTAAAGAGACTCAATCGCTGGGAGTAAGAGAGGAGAAGAAGAAGGGACTGTGGTTAAGACTTCGTCTCCAACCGAAACGCCTGTTATGAGCGTTTCGGGGTAGAAAGCGACGACGTTTCGGTCGATCCACGAAGCGGCGGTGGTGTTGGAGGAGCCGATTGCGAGGAGCTGGTTGTTGGGCACGCTTATCATGACCCGAATCTTGGTTCTCGCCAGGGATTTGAGGATGTCCTGGTCGGCGTCGTAGAGGCGGACATGGGATATCTTCTGCGCTTGGAGAAACGAAACGATTTCCGACGGAGATATGAGTTTCGAAACGTCTGTGCCGATGTTCACTCCCACGTAAGGCTCGCTGTCTTCGGAGGATTTGGCTGCAAAAATTAACGCAAACCCATGAAGCAAAAAGAAACGGAATGGGTAAAGATTAGTGCTTTTTTTTTTTTTTTTTTACCTTGGGAAAATGTAAAGGGGAGAGAAGAGAAAAGGAAAGTGGTGAGAAGAAGAGTGAGCTTAGTAGACGCCATTGAAGAGGAACTGGAGCTTTGCTTCCTCATCCTCTGTTTCTGGTTCACCTACAGAACCTTGCATTATCTTCCAAAGAAAAAAAAAATTTATATTTTTGGTGGATAACTTATGATTCCTGTTTTGTTTTGTTTATTAATTATTATATGCTGGGTTTGCCTCGAGCGTTGAGCAAAAAGATCTACAGTAAGAAGTGAGAAGACGATTGATGAAACGAAAGGAAAATCCTAGTGTGGAAGAAGAAGTCCCTGGAGTCTGAACTCGGAACTTGACGTCTTGCTGGGTTTTGTTTTGCTTTTTGTTTTTTTTTTTTTTTTGAATTCATTGGTTTTAAAATGAATTGACCAAAATGGCCTTGTGCGCCGACTAAAGAAAACTGGAAGCACGAGCAAAAGAGCAGTTTTGAGTGCGCTTTTCAATTTGATTCTTTCCCCTTCCAAGCGGGTAGCTGCCACATTGTCGCTGCAATAAAAGTTCCGCAAGAATTTAGATCCATTTATTAATCATATGTTACTCTTTTCATTAAAAATTTATCATTCATAAGCCGTGAGAATTAAGATCCATTTATTAATCATAATGTTACTCTTTTTATTAATAATTTATCATTCATAAGCTCGTGAGTTACATGTGTTTGTTTTATTTCTATTTGTTTATAAATTTTTTTTTTTAGTTGGGCAACTCGAATAGTAAACTTTGAATTGAAGTTAATTTTTACTTTTTAGGGATTTATGCAAGTCGCAACTCTATAAAAAAAGCATCATTTTTCTTTTTTGTAATTTAGGGTGGGGACATGTAATAATTAACTCGTGTTTATGTAAGTAATCGAGACTCGTTTAGTTCACTGATTCGAATTTTTAATTCGAGTTGATATGTGATTTTATATAATAATTTTTTATTGTAGTGAAAAAGTTAAATGTGATTTTTTTTTAAGAATTTTTTAATATAACAAAACTCGAATCGATAAAATGAACGGAGCTCAATTATGTACAAGTAATATTATATTGAGTTTCATCTCTATGCTTATTTATTTTTTTTCCTTAGAAATATCGGCATCATATTGTAGTGGGATATTATTGTTAGTATTGTGTGTTTGTTTTTTATAGGATGTTTTTCTTAATGTTTGACAATATCATGATTATAATAAAATAAAATAAATTAACAAAATTTGATAAAAATTTATCATTAGCTAATATCGTATGTAAACGTTATTGTGGACCTTTCCCTTTATTCTTTGCACTAATAAAAAGTGTTATGGACCTTTTGAGTTTGAGAAATAAGGTGTTTATTGATTAGTGGACAAATGAATTATTTCATGAATGAATAATAAATTACAGGCTGGCCAATTTCAAATATAGAGGAATATAGACGTTATTGCAGTGCTTTTATGAATTATGATGTGAAATTTCAAATTTCATTTCCCATCTGCCTCTCAGACCTTATACAGTCTATTTATTATTAATGATTGAAAAGGGAAAAGACCAAGGACCCCAAAAAAAAAAACGCGTTTTACAGTGAATTGTCGTTGTAGGGCCATTTAGAGTACTGAGTTAATTTTTTAATTTGAATTAACATATAATTTTATGTGACAATTTTTAAAAATTTTTTATTATAATAAAATTTAAATTTTAAACTCAAATTGATAAAATAAGTGAGACCGTAGTCTTTTTAACTGCAAAAAATTGGTCATTTCAAAAGAAAATAAAGGCTTAATTTATTTATTATTTTCTTTGACAAATAAATTTAATTAATTAAGAGGCACTTTCTAGGCCCAAACGAAAGGGACATAAGGTTGATGAATGTTTTCATACGACTATTATATTAAAATATCAGGAATTTTACAAAAGCTTTTCAATTTGATACTTTCCCCTTCCAAGCGGGTTGCTGCCACATTGTCGCTGCAATAAAAGTTCCGTAAGGATTAAAGATCCATTTATTAATCATATGTTACTCTTTTTATTAAAAATTTATCATTCATAAGCCGTAAGAATTAAGATCCATTTATTAATCATATGTTACTCTTTTTATTAAAAATTTATCATTCATAAGCCGTGAGAATTAAGATCCATTTATTAATCATAATGTTACTCTTTTTTATTAATAATTTATCATTCATAAGCTCGTGAGTTACATGTGTTTGTTTTATTTCTATTTGTTTATAAATTTTTTTTTTTTTAGTTGGGCAACTCGAATAGTAAACTTTGAATTGAAGTTAATTTTTACTTTTTAGGGATTTATGCAAGTCGCAACTCTATAAAAAAAGCATCATTTTTCTTTTTTGTAATTTAGGGTGGGGACATGTAATAATTAACTCGTGTTTATGTAAGTAATCGAGACTCGTTTAGTTCACTGATTCGAATTTTTAATTCGAGTTGATATGTGATTTTATATAATAATTTTTTATTGTAGTGAAAAAGTTAAATGTGATTTTTTTTAAGAATTTTTTAATATAACAAAACTCGAATCGATAAAATGAACGGAGCTCAATTATGTACAAGTAATCTTATATTGAGTTTCATCTCTATGCTTATTTATTTTTTTTCCTTAGAAATATCGGCATCATATTGTAGTGGGATATTATTGTTAGTATTGTGTGTTTGTTTTTTATAGGATGTTTTTCTTAATGTTTGACAATATCATGATTATAATAAAATAAAATAAATTAACAAAATTTGATAAAAATTTATCATTAGCTAATATCGTATGTAAACGTTATTGTGGACCTTTCCCTTTATTCTTTGCACTAATAAAAAGTGTTATGGACCTTTTGAGTTTGAGAAATAAGGTGTTTATTGATTAGTGGACAAATGAATTATTTCATGAATGAATAATAAATTACAGGCTGGCCAATTTCAAATATAGAGGAATATAGACGTTATTGCAGTGCTTTTATGAATTATGATGTGAAATTTCAAATTTCATTTCCCATCTGCCTCTCAGACCTTATACAGTCTATTTATTATTAATGATTGAAAAGGGAAAAGACCAAGGACCCCAAAAAAAAAAACGCGTTTTACAGTGAATTGTCGTTGTAGGGCCATTTAGAGTACTGAGTTAATTTTTTAATTTGAATTAACATATGATTTTATGTGACAATTTTTTAAAATTTTTTATTATAATAAAACTTAAATTTTAAACTTAAATTGATAAAATAAGTGAGACCGTAGTCTTTTTAACTGCAAAAAATTGGTCATTTCAAAAGAAAATAAAGGCTTAATTTATTTATTATTTTCTTTGACAAATAAATTTAATTAATTAAGAGGCACTTTCTAGGCCCAAACGAAAGGGACATAAGGTTGATGAATGTTTTCATACGACTATTATATTAAAATATCAGGAATTTTACAAAATTTGATTTAACAGCATAATTTTTAATTTTAAATATAATCTATACTGTACTAAATTTAATTTAATTTAATTTTTCTGTACTAAATATTAGTAAACAGTGCAAGTAAAATATATTAAAAGTGAAAAAAAATAAAGAAAAAAAGAACTAAAATTGATGTGAAAGACATTGCCCCGCCAGCGAGAATAAGGACCAAAAGGAGCAGGCAAACAGAGTGCTTGTTTTGCTAGCAAACAAAGTACGGAATACCAGCAGCTGTGAGTCACGGGCCTGTACAGGAAACCTGCAACCTATTTATCTATTCATATTCATATTTTTAGTGGGTCAGCAAAATATTCCATAAAATCATACGACAAATTATTCAAAGGCCTTAAAGATCAGCTTGCTTTCAAAATTCCTTCTTTAGCTAAAGATCAAATTCATAATTTTGATGGAACGACGACTACAATATAGAAAGGTTCTTTGGTTGGAGAATTTATACCCTGATTCGAATCATAATTCATGATTTATACAGTATTTTTTCTCACAAAAAATACATGTAAATCGAAAATAGTTCTAATCTTATGATTATAATCCATGAACCAAACGTCTCCAGAGTTTAAATGTTAGAGTTGTTTCTTTCTTCTTTTTTTTTTTTGCTCTCATTATAATGGTAAAGTTTGATTATAAAGGGTGATGGATATAACCGTTTAATTCACGTGTTCAAAATCATAATTCTAATTCTGTTTCAGTATTTTTTTCTCAATAAAATTTAAATAAAAAAATCTAACTAATGGGGTGCTTTTGAAATTAGTTCTAAAATAATTCTATTTTTTGTATAAAACTGGAAATAAAAATGTTTTCAATATCGGGATAAAAATCATTTTTAAAAATACGTTTGGTAATTTTATTAAGAAATTATTTTTAATATAAAAAAAACTGAAACTCCGTTTGGCAAAAATCGTTTTTAAAAATACGTTTGGTAGTTTTATTAAGAAATTATTTTTAATATAAAAAAAACTGAAACTCCGTTTGGTTATACAATTTTTATTTTTAATTTAAGAGTACTTAATTAGTTCATTTAAGCTCACACCTACTTGTTAAAAAAAAAAAAAAAAAAAAAACATCCACCCAAAATTGAAAATGAAAAACGACTTAAATTTATTTTCAGTTTTTAAGTCATTTTACACTAAACCGAAGACCGTTTTCATTTTATTTTTTTCACCTTTTTTCTTTTAAACGCATTTTCCTCCTTAATTTTTGTTTTTTATCTTAAAAAACGTAAAAAAATAAAAACAGAATTGATACTAAACACACTCGTGGATTCTCTTATAAAAAATTAAAATTACTAATTTAAATGCCGAGGTTTGACATTCCCTCTTGTACCAAAATAGTGAAAAAAAAAGTTTTTTTCTGATTAGTAAGGGCCTTATCGTGTATCAACAGTGATTAGTGAAAAAGTTTGATTAAAAAGTTGACTGTGAAGATGATCCGTGCCAAGAAAAAAGAGACAAAATGAGACAAGCTAATGGAGCTCCTTGTACGAATGCTAGCTTTTACGATGAAAAAAGGAATTGCATTTTGTGGTGGGCAAAGGTTGCTGATCCGTTGGAGTATATAATGTAAAATACTGTTCAACCACCCTTCTCGGTCGCTGCTTTCTTTGAAAAATAAATAAATAAAAAATTATATCGAGGCTTGGTTGCTCAACTATATATATCACTTAAAACAATGGACACAAAAAGATAGCTGTTCTTTTATTATTAATAATTATTATCAAAAGAGCACGAAAAAGAACCACTTTCACGGCTTTAAAATATTTGTTACAATGTAAGACTTTTGTTCTTATAATAATTTTAAATATAAAGTGACGTTTAGTTCATAAATTAGAATCATGTGATTAGAATTATTGTCAATTTACGTGTATTTTTTATAAAAAAATACTATAACAAATTATAAACCATAATTCAAATCATGATTTGAATCCTCTAACTAAACATTACTTAAGTGTTTAGAGCTTGCAGGGACATTAGTAATGTTTTCTGTAGAAACATGTGGCGGTGATGGATGATAAAGAGAAAGGGAAGATGCTTTTGGCAAAATGAGGCTTTGAGATTCTCTCTGTGGGTGCGTGCATTTAGTTCCGTTTTCAAAACGTTTTTCACGTTTTTTAAAAAACTAAAAAAATTAAAAATAAAATTACGTTTGTTTGTTTAAAAAATATTTTAAAAATGAAAATAAAAACAAAATAATTTTTATAAAAAGATTTAAAAAATAGTTAAAATTTATTTTTATTTTTTTGTTTTTATTTTTTAATACTTATTAATAATATTATGATATATAAATTAATAATTATAATCAAACACGATTTTACTATTTTATTATATTTAAAATAATCTTTTAAAAAATCAATCAAACATAATTTTAAAATTATTTTTATAATAACTCTTAAAATAATCTATTTTTATTTTTTATTAAAAATAAAATTATTTTAAAATTAATTTCAAACGCATTTCATATTTTTTAAAAATTTGGGAAACTAGAATCCTAGGATAGTTGCACCTCACGTGCGTAGAATCCCACAATTGGGTACTTTTTTCATCTTTTGGTAAAATACAATTTGGTAGATTGGATCATGGATGAGAATGACCCGAAATTTGTTGAGCCCGTAGTCCATATAACATGGGAGGACAGTTTCTTATAATGCCATCTAATAACATTTGTCGTTCACAAATAGTGTGCAAATTTCCTCCTAAATTTCCTCCTCGTGCTTTCCGTCCAGCTGATCACTCTGCCAACTTTTGTGAGAAAGTTCAGCTATTTCCAACACGATGTTATATTCACAAAAATGCGGCAGGAACCGCTAAAATTCTTCTTCTTTTTTTTTTAATATCACTTTGTAATTTGCTGCAGAAGAATTAAAATATATACTGAGAAACAATGTTCAATCCGGTACAAGTTGTCTTCAAAGCTCTCCCTTTCTACAGATTTCCTCCCAGTCAGAGTTCAATCAGCCAGATTTCTCCTAAAAAAATTAAATAACTGTTTTTTTCTTTTTTTATTGTAATTTTATTTTGTTTCTATTTCTTTGTAATTTTCCCATTTTTTAAATTTGTTTCCTTAATTACTTGGTAGTTCCCGAACACTAAAAATAAAGAGGCTCAATAGTATGTGAGAGTTGAGTTTTTCATTGAGTTTTTTGACGTAATTTATAATAATAATTTTTTTAAAATCAACGTAAGAATTTAATTTATTTGATAATTTTATTTTGTAAATTAAAGCCTAAACGAATATAAAAGATTCTCGACACCTTAATATTTTTACTATTAAATTTTCTTAACACAAATTTCTTCTATTTTCTTTACTTTATTCGTAACAAAATCACAAACATAATCTCTCATTAATTAATTTTATTAATTTATTATTCTTTAACGTCTTATTCTATTAATCTTTCTTATTTATTTTATTGTTTTTCTGTGGCTGAGATCGTATTTTTGTGTTATAATTGACTGTTTGTAAACAACACTTTTAAGCGTTAATCAAATTACCACGGACACAACTATAAGATCAAATCACATAGTTAAAAGGAGAGGAAATTTGATTTCAGTGCCAAATCCTCGAAAGAATTTCAAGTTTTGGAAAAGAAAGACATAAACTCGTATGAGAGACACAAGATAGGAACGAAAAATCTAAAATTTGACATATCAAATAGATCCACATTTCTTCGGCATCCAACCAGAGAGAAGAATAGTACCGGACTACAAAAGCTCCCTCCCTCAAAACTTCTAGAGACTGACAGGAAGCAAAGCAACACGACGAAGATATCAATATACAACACAATTACACTTCCTTGACCTAGGTTTCAAACAAAAAGAACACGATATAATCTATTGCTAAAATGAATGTATGAAGGCCATTTCCCTTTTGTTTCGCCAACTGTCTGTTGACTCCAGCTCCAATCTATGTTTTACCTACAAAATTTTCATGGGAGCCTTGGACTTCAGTCCTTGGATAACAGGCCATTTATTGATTCATGATGTGCATGAGCAGCATCACCGAAGGGCGTTTACAAAAGCCATCAAAGAATCAACATCCCGCTTCTCTGAGGGGTACTTGATTGGTTGAGCTGAGTGTCCAGGGAAGAAAAGAATTGTGGGGAAGCTTTGAAGCTGCAATTCCGCCTTAGCATACTCCTTTTGCTCGCCATCCGCTCTAAATTTACCAACTTTCACGCCACTACCCGCTAGCTTGTCCGCCAATTCAAGGTATGATCCTTCCATAGCTTGGCAGAATTGGCACCATGGGGCATAGAGCACAACAATCCATGGTTCCTTCCGGCTCCCCAGCTTTGCCAAGTTCTCTATCCCAGCCCGGCTTAAGGTGACCAAATTCTGCGAGTTGAAAATATCAGTCTCAGCAGCAGCTCCATTACCATTGCTGTTAAGCTGAGCCGTATCTTCCTGTTTGATATTTCCCTTGTGGAGGCCACACTCCTTAGCTTTGGCATCCTCCCACCACCACCTTCCTTCTCTCTCGTGTTGTCCGGGTAGAACCGGTCTCGTGCATGGCTCACAGCCAATTGAGACGTACCCCTGCGAATGCAATGAGTTCACAGGTACATCCATGGTGCGAAGGAAGTTCCATATGTCAACGCCATTGACATTTGCCACAGGGTTCCACTTCACCAAGCTGCCAATTCCACCATCCAAGCCTTCAAATACTGGGTCTACTTGGACAACAGGAATTTCAGACCTAGTTCCTGGAGATTGGTCCTTCCTTTGACCAGTGATCCAGGCTCTCAACCCCTTCAGGGCCCTCCGAAGGGGCCTCACCTTCCTCACCCGGCAGCATTCCTGGTGCCCGTCCTCATAAAATGAGAAGAGACCCTTACTCCTCACTAATGCCTGAACTTCCACAGCATCAGGAAACATGTATTCAATGCGTATGCCATAGTGCTTCTCAACTGCATCAAAAAATCGATACGTTTCCGGGTTCAATCTCCCAGTGTCCAGGCTGAACACCCTAAAGGGACGACCAGTTAAATAAGCATACTCTATCAAAACAACATCTTCAGCTCCACTGCACAAGAATAAATATGCGTTAATAATCAATCATGTAGCCGATTATTGTTCTTTGATGACATTAAATAAAGTAGGATACATTCAAATAACTATAGTTAGGCAGATTTAGTGGGAATTCATGTAATGTTGGAAAGTTTCTGCTTTAAAGGGAAGTTAATCTTATAATACTAATTTGTAACCGTAAAAGTACAATCATTTCAGATTACTGTGTTTCAGTCTCAGACAAACCATACCGATGTAAATAAATTACGCAAAACAGGGTATCAGTTGAAATTCGGAGTGGAATCTTCATAGCATGGAATATTCAATTAAAGAAATAGAAAATGTATCTTTCCATATCGACGTAAATTTGAAGACTTAACACAACGAAATTAAAGAATGGACCCAAAATCGTATCATCATATAAGAAAACATAATATATAAATCGAAATGATGCGATCGAAGAATGAAGATTACCTGAACGCAATTGCAATGTCATTGCCGAATTTCTCAAGGGCCTTGTCCATAATTTCAAGTGGGGAAGCGTTTTCAAGGTCTTTAGCCAGTTGTTCATAATCCTCGGCTTCTACTTTTTCCTTCTCTTCCACCTCTGCAAATTTAAAACAATTCCCAGTTAGGTCAAAGGCCACATACAAAAACCCATAATCAAAACTCAAAATTAAAAGAAAGAAAGAACACAAATCTTTACCAGGAGCAATAGCGGTCGCCGCGAATGGCACGATCATATCGTTTCGTTTAGGCTCGGCATTTAGAGGCTTCACTGCGCTCTTTCTTTGAGAGATATTCAGAGCCGAAGACTGGCCATGAGAACGCTCCAATAACCTAACTGAACCAATCTGCGAAGCTGCAAAAGATTAACGAAAGAAAATTTAGCATTACATTCCCGGAGATCAAGTATTTTCACTTAAAGATTCAAGGTTCAGAGTTCAAAATATTGCGAAATTTCAATTTCACCAAGAAAAAGTAAATTTTGGTTCCATTTTCTCCTCAAAAAGGCTCAATTAAACAAGAAAAACAGAGAAAATGAAACGTGTTAAAAGAAAACAAGCATCCCCACACAGATCCACTGCATAAGCTCCAAAATACTTATTGTTGAAATTTAAGAACTGTAGGTCAAATTTCTCACGCATTCCTCTGTTTTTTCTCAGAAACCAAACAGAATCAAACGACATAACACAGATTAAGAGAACAAAGAAAGTACCTTTAAGCTCAGAGGAGGCACTAGAACAAGAAAAAGGAGGACCAGAAATTGCAGTCGATGAAGGAGAAGCAACAGCAAACGCCATTTTCCCAGAAAATTGAAAGCTTTTTTTCTCCTCTGTTTTTTGGTTTGGTTTTCCCGTTTGTGTGAGGTCGATTATTTTCAGTAGGAAAGATATAGAAATGCGAATAAAAGGGCGGCCATCTTGGTTCGTTGAATCTGGACGTGATATCGTCCTGCGAAGAGACAAAGTGTGCTGCTTACGTGGCTGAATTTTATTGGTTTCACCTCTTATTTCTGTCATCTCTTTCGTCACGTGGCCCGCCCTTTCACAGCCGTGAAAGCTTCTTGTTTGAGACGTGTAAATTTGGCGTAGATTTTAGCCATCGCATGGTCAATTCTCGGATTCTTCCGGGTATTTTCCTTTTTTTTTAAAAAAAACATTAATAATTTTTTAATAGATTCTTCTGGGTATTTTCCTTTAAAAAAAAAGATAATAATTTTTTAATAAACTATATCATAATTATTACGTTAGGGAAAAAAACTTTAATAACAGTCATTTAGCGCATAAAACATACAAGGAGAATTAAGAGGTAGTATAACTTCTTTTTAAAAAAAGTGATAATATTACGCATTGCTAACCGTTAGATTTTCATCCTCTTGCGCTAAATTGTCGTATTTTTAAAACGATTTAAAAAGTATTTAATTAATATTATTTTAAGGGTGATTTAGCGATTAAAAACTTTATCTATCCATAGTATTTTCGTGTTCAATTATAAGAGTTTTTAGACATGTGTGATTATTAATTTAATTTACAAATTGCATTTTCATTATCAATAAAAAATGCCCATGCATGTTTGGTAAATATTAATTTAAATATGATCCATATTTAAAACAATGTTGCAAAAATGTGCTTATATTTAAATTTATTAATTTTTAATTCGAATGGTAAAAAGAACGTGACCTTAATAATTTATTAAAACTGGACAAATAAACTTATTTTTTCAAGTTTTACAACAATGGACAATAATATGATAATATTACCACAAAAGCGGTTTCATTAAAATTATTTAAGAAATAATTAGTACTAATTAGTGGCGCTTCAAGTGTTAAGAAAAGAAAGGAAAAAAAAAAAAAGTAAAGAATTTTGGCCGCAAGGACAATTTCAATTTTCCTGTACCAGACATATATTAATCGATCGAGCGCATGTTATTGTCCTCCCATCGCCATCTCAATAATAATTTGTGTTTCCTTTTTCGCATAATAACTGTTTTGGTTCAGATATTTTCTTTGGTTCATATTAAAAACATAAATTTCTGGCTCAGGTATATATATGACTACGACATGTATTGGAAAAATATATATTTGTATTTACGGTCAATAAGAAATGGCTCGTATCATTCAGTTGATCATAGCCTCACACAGACCAAGTATAGAAGATACAAATATATTATAATGAAATTTCATTTTAAAAAAAAGTTATTAAAAGGGATTTTAAAAAAAAAAAAAAACCGAAAGTTTATAACTGCTATAAATTAAAATGAAATTTCCCATTCTAACAAAAATCAAATATAATTTGGTGAATTATTAAAAGACTGATTTATCTATTTTTTTTAACCATTTAAAATTTAAAGCGTTCCCTATGTCATGAACACTTTTTTTTATTAAAAAAAAAACTATAATCTAGTGAATACTACGGTTAATTCCAGAATATGTCTGGCGTTATTTTGCTAAATTGAATTATCGTCATCAAATATTTTTGTTTTCAGCCAATTAATGCTTTTTCTTTTTCTTTTTTTTGTGGTCCTACGTGTCATTTAATGGTCCTAATGTCATATTGGTTTCTAACAAGACCTGTTCAGTTTGATGGACACACCCCAGTATGTGGATCAAATACCAAAGGATTTGACTCCACAATATCATTATTTTGGGTTAATTTGGGAAAAAATTGACCAATTTGTATTGTGGCTACCACACTTCACAACTCCAAAGCCATACAAAAAAGTTCACACTCCAAGAAAATTATACGTTTTTTTTTTTTTTTTTTGCTCTGAAGAAAAATTATACGTTGGATATATATGTGTTGTGTTTTTCTTGGAATTAACTTAATTTTTTTTATAAAAAAAATAGTTTTAGAATGCACATATTTTTCCACGTATTAGAATGTAATTAGTGGAGCATTTTGTTATGAAATTTTTATTTTAGACTTCAAACTAAGAATCTGAAATAAAATAAAAAAATTTATTCTGAAAAAATAAAAATGAACAAAAAAACCAATTTGATGAAAACAAGTTGACTAGGTGAGGTCACCATGTATTTTCCTAATTTTATTCTTCCCTCCATCCACTTGTAGATTAGGATATTCCAAAATCCAAATGTCTTATTATTTGGCAACATTGATTAGTGAAATTAGCATGCATAAGCAAATTGCAATACTTAACAATAATAAATGATTAATTAGTAGTGTTGTATCCTTTTGACTCGGTCAGCACTTCAGCGTCAGAAGAGACAAAAGAAGGTGCAAATTGGGATGCCAAACGTAAATGGGTTGTTTCTCTCGCAACTAACAATTTACAGCTATTAGAATCTCCTTTGTATAATAATAATATAATATAAGTCATATGAAAACGCCAATTAGAATCTTGGCCTTTGGGGGCCTAGAAGGATATGTTCTTTGTGATTCATTCATTTATTGTGTGCCGAAGCCAGTGACGGCAACAAAGTACCGACGAAGAAAGGGACCACGGTTGGGCAATAATGAACCGTGATGGACGCTTTATGAAAGTATAAACTTATGTAAGCGTAAAAAAGAAAGCAATAATCTTGCACCTCATAATCATTTATATCAAAACATTATTAGGATACCAAATAAAAAAAAAAATCTAGTTATCTATCTATTCCTACATAATAAGTGCGAATAAGTTTCGAACGGGATGTTGCGAAACGTTTCACGTATGTGCGAAGCGTTTCGGAAGGGATTTCCCCTCCATCCCCCGACCCCCAACTAGCTCCCCATCAACAGCAAAGATACGATTAGACAGGGAAGCCAAATTCAAAGGTAACGTTGATCGACATCGGGCGGCTCACCTGAATGTGGCGTCCCTTTAATATGATGAGAAGAAGAGGTTTCATGGGGTTACGTATTTCTACGAGGATATCTTGGAACGTGCCACTTACTTCTAGCTAGTGAGTAGTTCTTTACAATGAGAAAGATCTCTTTGACTTTCTTTAAAAAAAATACACTGTTGGCCCATTCCTTTCGTAACCGCATCACATAAGTTTTACGAAAAGCCTAATTGCATTAGGAAGCCATTTATATAGTACATAAAATCTCCTCGAAACGTTTTTTTTTTTTTTTTTTTTGGCTTTTTTTACTTCTTTTTTTTGTTTTTTCTTGCTTTGCCCGCTTTTATCTATTATTTTATCTTTTTCTTTTCCAGTAATTTGTCACGGCCTAAAAAATGAGACCGTGATTATTGAGATATAATTAAAAAAAATTAACTTAATTAAACTAAATTAATTAAGAAAAATTCATGAAAATAAAATAAAATATACAAATACCAACATAGATATTAAAATATATTACTTCGAAGTATTTCTTTTACAAACGATATTTAAAACAGTCCATAAAGTTTAAAATTATACAATTATGGGATAATGTCGATCAATACAGTTTATATACAGAAATACAGTACAACTCAGAATTAAAAACTGTAAATTCGGAACAAGCATATCACTTCGAATCTCGTGCCTTTAATCTATTGGCTTCTACTTGTCATGATGTAAATCTAAACCGCTAACTCTGAAGGGGGGTTAAAACATTGAAAACAGAAAAAAGTGAGTGAAATACCTAGTATGATAAAAATTAATAAAAACTGAATAAATAAATGAAAGTACAGGCCCGAAAGAATCATTCAGAATCAAACAATCTTTTACTGAAAGGTAAATAAACTTAAATTTCATATTACATGCAACCAACACGTAATTTAAGTAATTAAATTACTTCCGACCAATGTAAGGGCAAGCACCACAATAGTGGCCCATCCGGATTTCGAGTTCTACCCCACGGATACGATCTCCATATCATGTCTAGGCCATCGGCGGGTTTACCAGTTCGCAAGATATTTTATCTTAAGAAAATGTTAATTAAAACTTTAAATCAATTCATTATGGGGTCAATAGCAATAATCAAGTTATTGTCTTAAAATACTTTTCTTTATCAAACATGTCATGTCTTCTAAAAACATTTGTATTGGCCAAAACACTTTAAAACATGCTAACAAGGATATGGGTAAGGATATCCTAGTTCTTGATGAACACAACAGTCTTCTAAAAACATTTGTATTGGCCAAAACACTTTAAAACATGCTAACAAGGATATGGGTAAGGATATCCTAGTTCTTGATGAACACAACATAAAGGATTCTCGATACCTTACACCAACACCAGAACCAGAGATTCCTCAACAATATCACCCCTTTCTAACCACTAGATCATAATATAATCACATGACAAAAAAATGGGTGAAAATTTTAGTTCAAAACTACATATAGGTTCCCCCTAAACTTTGTTTTACTCCTTTGGACTGAGAAGATCTTGCTCTGTACCGTATGCCTGTTCCCAGATGAAAAAACTATATCTATATGTATTAGAGAATGTTTTCTGCGAGTTGGAATTATTAATAAGCCGATTCTGAGATAGTGAGGCCTGCTAATTTGTAATTACCATGGGCTTCAACTATAAGATCAAATCACATAGTTAAAAGGAGAGGAAATTTGATTTCACTGCCAAATCCTTAAAAGAATTTCAAGTTTTGGAAAAGAAAGACGTACACTCGTATGAGAGACGGAAGATAGGAACGAAAAATCTAAATTTGACATATCAAATAGATCCACATTTCTTAGGCATCCAACCAGAGAGAAGAATAGTATCAGACTACAAAAGCTCCCTCCCTCAAAACTTCTAGCGACTGACAGGAAGCAAAGCAACACAACGAAGATATCAATAAACAACAAAATTACACTTCCTTGACCTAGGTTTCAAACAAAAAGAACACGAAATAATCCCAGACTACAAAAGCTCCCTCCCTCAAAACTTCTAGCGACTGACAGGAAGCAAAGCAACACAACGAAGATATCAATAAACAACACAATTACACTTCCTTGACCTAGGTTTCAAACAAAAAGAACACGAAATAATCTTATTGCTAAAATGAATGTATGAAGGCCATTTCCCTTTTGTTTCGCCAACTATCTGTTGACTCCAGCTCCAATCTATGTTTTACCCACAAAATTTTCATGGGAGCCTTGGACTTCAGTCCTTGGATAACAGGCCATTTATTGATTCATGATGTGCATGAGCAGCATCACTGAAGGGCGTTTACAAAAGCCATCAAAGAACTCTCTGAGGGATACTTGATTGGCTGAGCTGAGTGTTCAGGGAAGAAAAGAATTGTGGGGAAGCTTTGAAGCTGCAATTCCGCCCGCCTTAGCATACTCCTTTTGCTCGCCATCCGCTCTAAATTTACCGCAGAATGAAGCAACTTCATCCCTTTCACTCATGTGTCCGAGCCTATGATGCCATTGCTCTGTATTAAGAGCAGTTTCAACAACTGCTACGGTATCCCTACAATTACAACTAATGTAGAGGGTTCCAATCTTACTCCCCCGAGCAACAACCATGGCCCCCTTTGTGACTTTCCATCCTCCACAATTGAAGGTTACATGATGTCCTCCTCATCAAGTTGCCCCACTGAAATAAAATTGCCCATCAATTTGGGCACATGTCTCACCTTGTCGATCTTCCACACAGACCCATCAGGTGTTTTCAACCTGACATCTCCCATACCAACAATGTCTAGAAATCCACCATCAGCAAGAGAAACCTTACCATAATTTCCGGCAACATAATTCTCCAGGACATCACGATGGGCCGTAAAGTGGAACGATGCTCCTGAATCAATCACCCAACGATCACAAGAACTATCAAGATACAAGAGTAAGGCATCCTGTTCGTCAACAGTGGCTGCATTAGCGGCGTCATTTTTCATGATATTTCCCTTGTGGAGGCCACACTCCCTAGCTTTGGCATCCTCCCACCACCACCTTCCTTCTCTCTCGTGTTGTCCGGGTAGAACCGGTCTCGTGCATGGCTCACAGCCAATTAATGAGATGTACCCCTGCGAATGCAATGAGTTCACAGTTACATCCATGGTGCGAAGAAAGTTCCATATGCCAACGCCACTGACATTTGCCACAAGGTTCCAGTTCACCACGCTGCCAATTCCACCATCCAAGCCTTCAAATACCGGGTCTACTTGGACAACAGGAATTTCAGACCTAGTTCCTGGAGATTGGTCCTTCCTTTGACCAGTGATCCAGGCTCTCGGCCGCTTCAGGGCCCTCCGGAGGGGCCTCACCTTCCTCACCCGGCAGCATTCTTGGTGCCCGTCCTCACAAAATGAGAAGAGACCCTTGCTCCGCACTAATGCCTGAACTTCCACAGCATCAGGAAACATGTATTCAATGCGTATGCCATATTGCTTCTCAACTGCATCAAAAAATCGATACGTTTCCGGGTTCAATCTCCCAGTGTCCAGGCTGAACACCCTAAAGGGACGACCTGTTAAATGAGCATACTCTATCAAAGCAACATCTTCAGCTCCACTGCACAAGAATACATATGCGTTAATAATCAATCACGTAGCCGATGATTGTTCTTTGATGGCATTAAATAAAGTAGGATACATTAAAATAACTATAGTTAGGCAGATTTAGTGGAATTCATGTAATGTTGGAAAGTTTCTGCTTTAAAGGGAGGTTAAATCATATAATACTAATTTGTAACCGTAAAAGTACAATCATTTCAGATTACTGTGTTTCAGTCTCAGACAAACCATACCAATGTAAATAAATTACGCAAAACAGGGTATCAGTTGAAATTCGGAGTGGAATCTTCATAGCATGGAATATTCAATTAAAGAAATAGAAAATGTATCTTTCCATATCGACGTAAATTTGAAGACTTAACACAACGAAATTAAAGAATGGACCCAAAATCGTATCATCATATAAGAAAACATAATATATAAATCGAAATGATGCGATCGAAGAATGAAGATTACCTGAACGCAATTGCAATGTCATTGCCGAATTTCTCAAGGGCCTTGTCCATAATTTTAAGTGGGGAAGCGTTTTCAAGGTCTTTAGCCAGTTGTTCATAATCCTCGGCTTCTACTTTTTTTTAAAAAAAACCCATAATCAAAACTCAAAATTAAAAGAAAGAAAGAACACAAATCTTTACCAGGAGCAATAGCGGTCGCCGCGAATGGCACGATCATATCGTTTCGTTTAGGCTCGGCATTTAGAGGCTTCACTGCGCTCTTTCTTTGAGAGATATTAAGAGCCGAAGACTGGCCATGAAAACGCTCCAATAACCTAACTGAACCAATCTGCAAAGCTGCAAAAGATTAACGAAAGAAAATTTAGCATTACATTCAAGGTTAAAGATTCAAGGAATTTCGCTTAAAGATCAAGGAATTTCGCTTAAAGATTCAAGGTTCAGAGTTCAAAACATTGCCAAATTTCAATTTCACCAAGAAAAAGTAAATTTGGTTCCATTTTCTCCTCAAAAAGGCTCAATTAAACAAGAAAAACAGAGAAAATGAAAGAAATGAAACGTATTAAAAGAAAACAAGCTTCCCCAAACAGATCCACCGCATAAGCTCCAAAATACTTATTGTTGAAATTTAAGAACTGTAGGTCAAATTTCTCACGCATTCCTCTGTTTTTTCTCAGAAACCAAACAGAATCAAACGACATAACACAGATTAAGAGAACAAAGAAAGTACCTTTAAGCTCAGAGGAGGCACTAGAACAAGAAAAAGGAGGACCAGAAATTGCAGTCGATGAAGGAGAAGCAACAGCAAACGCCATTTTCCCAGAAAATTGAAAGCTTTTTTTCTCCTCTGTTTTTTGGTTTGGTTTTCCCGTTTGTGTGAGGTCGATTATTTTCAGTAGGAAAGATATAGAAATGCGAATAAAAGGGCGGCCATCTTGGTTCGTTGAATCTGGACGTGATATCGTCCTGCGAAGAGACAAAGTGTGCTGCTTACGTGGCTGAATTTTATTGGTTTCACCTCTTATTTCTGTCATCTCTTTCGTCACGTGGCCCGCCCTTTCACAGCCGTGAAAGCTTCTTGTTTGAGACGTGTAAATTTGGCGTAGATTTTAGCCATCGCATGGTCAATTCTCGGATTCTTCCGGGTATTTTCCTTTTTTTTTAAAAAAAACATTAATAATTTTTTAATAGATTCTTCTGGGTATTTTCCTTTAAAAAAAAAGATAATAATTTTTTAATAAACTATATCATAATTATTACGTTAGGGAAAAAAACTTTAATAACAGTCATTTAGCGCATAAAACATACAAGGAGAATTAAGAGGTAGTATAACTTCTTTTTAAAAAAAGTGATAATATTACGCATTGCTAACCGTTAGATTTTCATCCTCTTGCGCTAAATTGTCGTATTTTTAAAACGATTTAAAAAGTATTTAATTAATATTATTTTAAGGGTGATTTAGCGATTAAAAACTTTATCTATCCATAGTATTTTCGTGTTCAATTATAAGAGTTTTTAGACATGTGTGATTATTAATTTAATTTACAAATTGCATTTTCATTATCAATAAAAAATGCCCATGCATGTTTGGTAAATATTAATTTAAATATGATCCATATTTAAAACAATGTTGCAAAAATGTGCTTATATTTAAATTTATTAATTTTTAATTCGAATGGTAAAAAGAACGTGACCTTAATAATTTATTAAAACTGGACAAATAAACTTATTTTTTCAAGTTTTACAACAATGGACAATAATATGATAATATTACCACAAAAGCGGTTTCATTAAAATTATTTAAGAAATAATTAGTACTAATTAGTGGCGCTTCAAGTGTTAAGAAAAGAAAGGAAAAAAAAAAAAAGTAAAGAATTTTGGCCGCAAGGACAATTTCAATTTTCCTGTACCAGACATATATTAATCGATCGAGCGCATGTTATTGTCCTCCCATCGCCATCTCAATAATAATTTGTGTTTCCTTTTTCGCATAATAACTGTTTTGGTTCAGATATTTTCTTTGGTTCATATTAAAAACATAAATTTCTGGCTCAGGTATATATATGACTACGACATGTATTGGAAAAATATATATTTGTATTTACGGTCAATAAGAAATGGCTCGTATCATTCAGTTGATCATAGCCTCACACAGACCAAGTATAGAAGATACAAATATATTATACTGAAATTTCATTAAAAAAAAAGGTATTAAAAGGGATTTTAAGAAAAAAAAAACCCGAAAGTTTACAACTGCTATAAATTACAATGAAATTTCCCATTCAAACAAAAATCAAATATAATTTGGTGAATTGTTAAAAGACTGATTTATCTATTTTTTTTTCTTAACCATTTAAAATTGAAAGCGTTCCCTATGTCATGAACACTTTTTTTTTTATTAAAAAAAAAAAAAACATCAACACTTAAATATCCACATAGCATGGTTGGCATATAATCTAGTGAGTACTACGGTTAATTCCAGAATATGCCTGGCGTTATTTTGCTAAATTGAATTATCGTCATCAAATATTTTTGTTTTCAGCCAATTAATGCCTTTTCTTTTTCTTTATCTTCTTTTTTGTGGTCCTGCGTGTCATTTAGGGACGTTTGGTAAGAAAATTCGTACCCTAATTCGAATCATAATTTATAGTTTATTACAGTGTTTTCTCTCATAAAAAATACACGTAAATCAAAAATAATTCTAATCTCATGATTCTAATCCATGAACCAAACGTTTCCTTAATAGTCCTCGTCTCATATTCGTTTCTAACAAGACTTGTTCAGTTTGATGGACACCCCTGTATGTGGATCAAAGGATTTGACTCCACAATATCATTATTTTGGGTTCATTTGGGAAAAAATTGACCAATTTGTATTGTGGCTACCACACAATTATACGTTTTTTTTTTTTTTTTGCTCTGAAGAAAAATTATACGTTGGATATATGTGTGGTGCTTTTCTTGGAATTAACTTAAGTTTTTTTTTTTTTTTTAAAGTTTTAGAATGCACATATTTTTCCACGTATTAGAATGTAATTAGTGGAGCACTTTGTTATGAAATTTTTATTTTAGACTTCAAACTAAGAATCTGAAATAAAAACAATTTTATTCTAAATAAAAAAAACAATGATGAAACCAATTTGATGAAAACAAGTTGACTAGGTGAGGTCACAATATATTTTCCTAATTTTATTCTTCCCTCCATCCACTTGTAGGTTAGGATATTCCAAAATCCAAATGTCTTATTATTTAGCAACAATGATTTTAGTGAAATTAGCATGCATAAGCAAATTGCAATACTTAACAATAATAAATGATTAATTAGTAGTGTCGTATCCTTTTGACTCGGTTAGCACTTTAGCGTCAGAAGAGACAAAAGAAGGGGCAAATTGGGATGCCAAACGTAAATGGGTTGTTTCTCTCACAAATTGTTATTGCCATCGCTATAGATTGTCGAATGCATACGTGACGACATCAAAATTAGTGTTATATATGTATTTTAGATTAGAACCTACTCAAAGGAAAGAAGTAAATTGATATAAAATGGTTTTTTGTATAATTTTCATGAGCATTGAGCACCCTTGTTTCAAAGTGTTATTAATTTTTCAAAACAGGTCAAAACGCTTCTTAATATATAAAAAGTCATTTAAAACACTCCCTCCATCCATCTATGCGTATCATTTGGATGAAAAAATGCATATGTGACACTTGAAATGAGTATTTAAAAGTTAATTAAAGATATTCAACTAATAAAAATCAATAATAATAAATATTAAATAAAATAAAATGACTACGTTTTTGGTTTGCAAGGATGGCTTCGATGACTAGAGCTGCAAATCGGCGGCGATCTGGGGCAGAGAAGGTCCGACGACCTCGGGAGGTGGTGATTGGGGACAGGCTGAAGCTAACAACAAAGTGGGGCGAAAGGAGGCTGGCTTCAATGAGGTCCGTGAGTTGGAGACCAGATCAGCTTGGGTCGACGCCGTGGGGCATGGCATGTCAGTAATCTGTTAAAGTTATAAACGGAAATGGACGGATGATGTATTTTGAATCATTTTTTATATATTAAGAGGTGTTTTGAATCGCTTTAAAAAATTAAAGGGCATTTTAAAACAAGGTACATACTTTTGGGAGCATTAATAAAATAATAATAATAATAATAATAATATTCACCTTGTATAAAGTGGAATATTGATACTTTTGGGAGCATTAATAAAATAATAATAATAATAATAATAATAATAATATTCACCTTGTATAAAGTGGAATATTCTTTGGTCATATACACTTAGCCTGGACCATAATCATTTCGTAGGAATCTATAGTCTACCAATCTTTTAGTTTCTATTTTTTCTTAGCATGCATACACACATACAAATGCATATATAATATTACTAATAATAATAATAATAATAATATCATCAATTGAGCAAACCTAAAACCCAATATAGTTAATGCAGCAGGCGGCATATATTGCTCGTCTGAAGCTTCAATTTGAAGAAACAACATGGTTTCTTGTATAATTAGTATCATAAACTATGAAAATCCAATTTAACTCTCCTTATGCTAAATTTCTTATATTATTGACAGGATACAACTTACAAACTCATTACAATAAGTTTATATGATACTGATAATTAATCAGATTTGTCTTTTATGTTGGATTGAGGAACGAAATATTGGACAAAGTTCCAAAATTGAATTCTATGACCTAACATCTGAAAAACAAAAGAACAAAAAAAGCAACTACAATTATAAGCAAATGAAGACCTGTTAAGGTAATGGAGATTAACTTGTTGACTCTGCAATAACGATCTGGTACTATTTTTCCGAATTTCACCAGTTCATATGTTTGTTAAAACTTGAATAAACAAATATATATATATATATACATATATATTTTGCTCCTCGGATAGTATATTCTTCTGGCATATGTAGAAAGTCATTGCTCTAAGTTTTTTTTTTTTTTTTTCATTTATTTGGAGTGAATGGTTCAAACTTTTTGTGCCATATTGTGAAGGATAATCTCAAAGAGATTAAGGCCCCGTTCATTTCGCTAATTCGAGTTTAGAATTCGTGTTTTGCTAAAGTAAAAAGCTCTTATAAATAAATTTAACTTTTTAACTACAGTCACATACTCAAATCAATGAACTAAACGGATCTAAAGCATTTATTAGCCACTCAATCATGTAAAGCTTCGCGTTGCTAATTTGGATTGTTCCATCAGTTCTATAGAAAGGTAGTAAAACATAAAATTGATTATGTTTGCTTCAGATAAATTCTAGTCGACAATTATAGAAGAGGAATTCCTGATGTTCATTTAGGCATATTTTATTATT